ACCCTTTTTTCGTTCACTGTATTACCGTCACCTTGCATTTCTCTTCAGGCACACCTATTGCAGGCTTTGCTAGAGAGCTCTGCTCTGTGAGAACAATAGGGTCAGTCAGGGATCTCTCTTCTGCCTTTCTCTGGTCAGACATGCGGGTTTTAACAATGAATCTATGAAGCAGGGGTGATTTACAGAAAATCAAACCCCACTTAGTACAAACAGCCATTTAAAATAGTTTTTTAATAAGCACTTACTGCATGTTAGTCACTCATCTAACGACTTGAAATAACCATCGACTCATTTAATCCTAAAACTGTACTCTGACTCGGGGGGCATTCAACTGTTTTCCTCAGTGTATGCGTCAGAAACCTGAGGGGCAGAGGATTGGCCGAGAGGCGCCTTCCCATAGCCCTTTTGCTGTCTTGATAGGAATACAGGATGTAGCCTTACTCTTCTTTAGAGGAATGTATATGCCTTTCAAAAATCAAGCCTTGTAATTAAAAGACCAGGACTGCCTGCCTAACATAATGAACCACTGTTCCCCCACCTTCCAGATGTGCCTACAAGAACTTGCTGAGAGAGTTTACTGTCAAGCACATGGTTGATGTCTCTAGTGCTTTCTGACCAGGGACAAGGCAACTTTTGTATTATGTACTGATTTTATTGATGAAGATAGAACAGTTGATCTCAATATTCCCTTCTTTTCTTCTTTTATAATGGAACTTTAGCCATTAAATTGACTTTTTTTCTTCTTCGGTCTAAGACCTAAGGAATGGTTGAATCTGTGGAGTAAAGTTGTTATTGCACAAAAGTTTAGTTGGTGATTTCTTATGAAAGTGGTGAGCTAAAGTTACTCCCCAATTCTCTTCCGTGGCTTCACCTTCTTGTCCTTTAAATACTTGAGCCAAGGCTTGTGCACCTGCCCAGCTCTCACCCTTTTTAAACCTGAACCCGAGCTCATGCACTCTCGTCTTAGTTCACAAGGTAGGCTGTTAGTGGGGGCTCCCTTACAAGTGGTGCTGAAAGGGACACCGTGTTGGGTCTTCAGCCTTGGAAACTGCAGAATTGGCAGAGGTTAAGAGTGCTCTCTCGGAAGTTGGATAGATTTGGCCGGAGAGAGTTAATCGACCCTCCCAGAGACTGCTGAGTACGGTAACTTCTCGGAACTTTCACAATATGCAGCTCAAATGAATGCATGGGACCGTTGCAAAGGAATATTCAGATCATCATTTTAACGTTAAACTAAGTCCCTATGCAGTAGCAGCAATAAGAGTCCATCTTCTCCCCCGCCGCCCACCCACCCCACCCCCAGTATATTTCTCAGCAGGTAAATGATTTTCTGCTGAGGGAAAGTGGAAATAAAAAATATTAAAGGCCCATAAACATGAGGTGTGATTATAAAACGATAATACTTTTAATAACTAGTCCACACAAACTTTTGCATGCCTATTAATCTTATCCTCTGCAAAATGGTTATCTTGAGAGACTAAATGCTTGCTTGAGTGCTATCAGTACTCAAAGCTTTTTCTTTTTCTTTTTGCTAACTCTTCTAATTGACTTGGGAAATGGCAGCATAGTATTTTGTACAAATCATTTTTTTAATGTTTAGGTAGAATTTCAATTTTTATCCTTTAATTTTATATTAACTATAGTTTTAGTGGCATATGCTTCACATATCATACAATTTAATGGTTCAATCATATTCAGAAAATATGTGTAATCATCACCACAGTCGATTTAAAAATTTTTCTTGTACTCACATGCCTGGCCAGTGGTTC